AAGTTTAATTCTGTTGATACACGTTACATTTAAGCCATTCTACTCAGGCTAGTGATTAGGAACTACAAGCCCCATATTATATTTGTTTGGTTCATATAATATACTGCAATATTGACATCATCTTTTGAAATCCTGTGCAAGAATGTTGTCATTTTTCCTTCAAGGAATGCGGCTATTGAGAATGCTCTTCGATTGTTCTCACCTCGGCTTGCAATTGTTGATGAACATCTGACTCGACACCTACCTAGGCAGTGGTTAACATCTTTGGCGCTTGAGGTATGAATGTCATGCCTGTGTTTTTTTGGGTATTATCATGCAATTGTTATAATTTCCTATAGTATAGTATAATAGCAATAAAGTAATCTTCCTACTAATAGCTATATAATGTCTACCCCGAGCCTAATTGTAATTTGAGGCTTTTTCCTAACTTAGATCCTTTTAATTGGAGGCCTACTTCTAACACAATCAAATTAAAAGTTGTTGACACAGTACACCAGTGGAGAAAATCACATCATCACTTTTCAGTGTAAGTAATCCAATGTTTCAAAAACATATATATACTACAACAACAGCAACCAGGTTTTTTCCCATTAGGTGGGATCGGTTGCTTGGAGCAATTGATGTCACAAAAACCTATCATGTATTTGAACCACAGATAAAATATTAATCTCTAAATCAATCTTAAGATCCGGCCTGTAGTTGTCCTCATCTCACCTGCCTTTAACTATTGAACCATGCTCCATCTGGTTTAATCCCCTTAACACTGCTTCATTTCCATACAACACTACAGGTCTTATAACCTGTGAAAGAAATATAACCTGTGAAAGAAATACAGTTGGGAGAGACCAGGCTCTCGAATTCCTAGTGCTTCCTTATGTTTTTATTTCTTTCTTTCTAATTTCCACAATAAGTGTGTTGTATTTCTCTGTTTTGAGGATTGCTGGAAGTTATATCAATAATAAATAAATCTTTTCAGTGCATTTAATTTAATTTCCAATCAGTTTTATCAGATTGTTGCATGAACCTTAACAAGTTTTTATCTTTCTTGCAGAATACGGGAACTAATTGCTCTTTAGATGAAACAATAACAGTAATTGATGCCCCTCGGCAATCAGACTTATTGATAGAACTAATAAAGAAATTGAAGCCTCAAGTGGTGGTGACTGGAATTGCTATTTTTGAGGCTGTTACTAGTTCAGCTTTTGTGCACCTCTTAGATACAACACGAGATGTCGGATCTCGTCTTTTCTTGGACATATCAGATCACTTTGAGCTATCCAGCCTTCCGGGATCAAATGGGGTCATGAAGTATCTTTCGGGAAGTCCTCTACCCTCTCATGCCGCAATTATTTGCGGACTGGTAAAGAACAAGGTACTATTCCATATTAACTTATTGGCCTGCTTAGGTTGTGTGGTAGGCTTCTATTCTTGTTTGACTTTAATTAGTTTCTTATTAATGGCACTGGCATACATGTTTTCCAGGTTTATCCAGATTTAGAAGTAGCTTTTGTCATTTCAGAAGAAGAGTCCCTCTTTAATGCACTGTCCAAAACTGTTGAGTTACTAGAAGGCAATACCGCATTAATCAGTCAGTACTATTATGGATGTATTTTTCACGAGCTTCTTGCTTTTCAGCTTGCCTCTCGGCGTGTACCTTCTGAGGTCTGTCTTCCTGCCCTTTTCATTTTCCTTTAGGCTTGAAAACCAAAATTATTTTTGTGTGTAACATCTGTTCCTAATATTCATCAGTTCTTTCATTTGTGGCACCGTATTTATTTGGACCACAATAATTTTGAAGAAAGAATATTTTTAAAAGCTTGAATTGAGAACCTAATTTCCTGAAAGAACTTCCCAATTTCCTGTTATAATTTTCCTTGCAAATTCACACAAGGATTTGTATCGTTGTCAATCATGGACTAGTAGCTATATGCTTTTACTAGTTGCTACATGTGTTTATGGTTTGAATTTCACTAATAGTGAATCAAACGAACTGAGAAAAGGATTACTGGGTTCCATATTGTTGAATGAGTGAAAAACAGAAAGGCCAGATGGTGCAACCGAATGTTTTAAACTACACATAACCTTTTTATATAGGCTTAAAAACAATAAATAAGATAATTGCATAGAATTTTATCCTTATTTTAAAGATAAGATGTGATATCTCAATCCCTATTTACATGGATCCTAAGTTCGTGCTATGACAGGATCCAGGGACAACAATAACCTTACCTTATAATTGCAAAAGATTGTTTGTGTGACCTCAATTTCACATAACAATAAGTACAACCATTGCACCAAAGCCCCTCTTCCTTTTTAGGCTGAGTATACTGTGAAAGCTATGAAAATTAACACATATTTTTTTCTGACCAACACACATACTCCCTCCGTTTCAAAAAAACGTTGTTTAAGGTTCCTGCGCACAAATTAAGAAATGCAATATAGTTGCCAAAAGACACGAGACATTTACTAAATTACCCTTATCAATTATTGGTGGTTCCCACAATCATTTTTGTAATGTGTTGCATATTATTTTGGAAGTAGTGTACATAGCAATAATTAGATGGCATAATTGGGAACAAATTTATTCTAGATTGAAAAGTGAAAATGACATTCATTTTGAAACAAATTTTCTCTGTTAAAGTGACATTCATTGTGAAACGGGGCAGTATATCTTATGTATAGCTATTTATATGAAATAGTTGATTACCATGGTTAGTTTCCTTGTTACTCAAATTTAACTTGTGTCCTCCAGAGAAGCTGTGAAAATGTCAAATCAATTGATATGATAGGATTTGCTAAATCAGCCGTGTCAGTCCTTAATAATGTTGAGCTAGCAATTGATGAGGTGGATAATGGTTCCCTGATCCACATGGACGTTGATCAAATCTTTTTGCCCATTCCATCTCCTGTTAAGGCTGCTATTTTTGAAAGTTTTGCTCGACAAAACATGTCTGAGTCTGAAATTGATGTCACCCCAAGCATAAATTTTTTTGTCAAAAGCAACTATGGTTTTCCAACTGATAGCCGCACAGAATTTATATATGCTGACAATTCAAAAGCAATTTTCAATAAACTGGTCCTCTGCTGCAATAAAGAAGGTGGCACCCTCTGTTTTCCAGCTGGATCAAATGGGAACTATGTTTCTTCTGCTACATTTTTGAAAGCGAACATAGTGACAGTTCCGACTGATGCCAGCGTAGGTTTTAAGTACACAGAAAAGGCACTGACTGGAGTCCTTGGCACTGTGAAAAACCCATGGGTGTATATTTCTGGACCTACAATCAATCCCACTGGCTTAGTTTATAGCAACAAGGAGATAGGAGAGATTTTGGGTACCTGTGCTAGATTTGGTGCAAGAGTTATAATTGACACATCATCTTCTGGTTTAGAATTTGACATTAAAGGCTGGGGGGGATGGGATTTGGAGGGGTGTTTGTCTAATCTGAATTCTTCAATGAAGCCATCGTTCTGTGTGTCTCTTCTTGGAGGACTGTCTCTTAAGATGCTCAATGGTGTTCTCAGACTTGGGTTTCTTATTCTTAACCAGTCGGTTTTGGTTGACTCATTTTATAGTTATCCAGGATTAAGTAAACCCCATAGTACTGTTAGATATGCTACAAAGAAGTTGCTGGATCTTAGAGAGCAGAAATCATCAATTCTATCAGATGCTATTGTTGAACATACACAAATTTTGAGAAGTAGGTCTGCTCGCTTGAAGGAGGTAATGTTTTATCTGCTAAACATTTCTGTCCGAATTTCCTTTTAAATGATTTGTTTTTTATGGTGGTAGTTTTTTTTCTTCTTTTATTAAAATAAAGCTAAACCATTTTTTGGCGGTATACTTTCCTAGGTACTTGAGAAGAATGGATGGGAGGTACTTGAATCATGTGCTGGCGTTTCTGTTGTGGCCAAACCCTCCGCCTATCTCAAAAAGACTATTAAGATAAAGTTGTCATCAAAAGGTGAAGTCAGCCAAGGAGATGCTGCTAAAGAAATAACGCTTGACGACTCAAGTATTAGGAATGCCATTCTCGAAGCCACTGGTTTATGCATCAATAGTGGCTCTTGGACTGGAATTCCTGGATATTGTCGGTTCAATATTGCTCTTGAAGAAAATGATTTCAAGAAAGCACTGGATTGTATACTAAAATTCAGAGAAGTTGCACTAGATTAAAATTGTTATCAATGCTGCACACATAATACTTAAACGTTTGAGCTTCATTGCATGCCTTTTTTTTTTTAAGAAACAAGGCAAGTGTGGGCGTTTTGTTTCTCTTGTGCATGCAGTCCATCGTCCGTATTTTTCGTTTATTTGCATGCTTTGCAATAACCATAGAATGTGAACTTCCAGTTCATGAAATTTCCTCAATGATTGTGATGTTTGTGCACTCTAATTTTTGTTCAATTTTTTAGATATCATTTGTAATCCAAATAGCAATTATTTTATGACAATTTTAAATTTAACACTTCAATTATTAGATGTGTCATTTAAGAGAATGTTAAGGCATACTATTATTTTAAAATAGGCCTTCAAATTGATTTAAGATGTCAAGGCATAATATTACTTTGGGTACAATTTGATTAAAATGAGTAGTGTTATATTGTAGTGCAAGCATTCAATTTATTTATCATTTCTATACAAATTGATTGCATAAAGAAAATTTAAAATTATTATAAATAAATAAATAAATAAATAACAAAAGAAATGAAATAATGAACAAAATTATTGATTGTAAGAAAGGTGACAAATAAGTTTTATTGATATGTCATTTGTAAATTTGTTTGACGGAAAAAGTACAATTGGTTTGGTTGGTTCACCTCCAAAAACTTCTTTTAAATGTTCCAATTGGATTAGTCTAAGTGCTTTCCGTGGCTTAAAGGCATCACTAAAGTCTCCAGCAGCATAAATGAGAACCGGTGAAAGGGGAACTGTACTTTTGTGGGTGCTATGATCTCAACACAAACACACACCTAACCACCAATAGATATTTTCCATAACCTTATGAGTTATTCTCCAACCAGCTCCAGCCAGTTGTTTTCTTCACTCCGTGTTTTGTCATTGCATCCCTAACTCTGTCAACATCCTTCCATCTACCAGCCAAAGCATATATGTTAGCTAGCAACACATAATTTCCAGAATTAAGCGGCTCTATCTTGAACAGTTTAGCTGCAGCAAGTTCTCCAAGTTCCACTCTTTTGTGAATGCTAGTAGCATTTAAAAGAGATCCATAAATTCCTGCATGGGGTTCCATTGGCATGCTTTGAATCAACTCCACAGCTTCTTCTAATCTACCAACTCGACCCAGCATATCAATCATACAAGCATAGTGGTCTACATCAGGGAATTTGATTGATTCAAAAACTTTTTGACCTTCTTCCAGTAATCCGGCATGACTGCATGCAGTTAGTATAGCAATATATGTTATGCGGTCCGGTTCAATACCGTCTTTTTTCATTTTTGACAGTAGTTTGATGCTTTCCAATCCTTGTCCATGCTCAGCAAACCCGGAAATCAATGTGTTATAGGAAACTAAATCTCTTGTTACCATTTCTTGAAAAATTAATGTAGCATCTTCCATGCTCCCACATCTTGAGTACATGTAAATCAAAGAGTTGTATCCTGAAATGCTAATCCGGATGTGATTTTCTTTGAGGACGCTCAAAGCCCAATGACCTAAACTTAGTTCTCCAAGGTGTCCACAAGCAGAAAAAACACTCACCATGGTCACCTCATCTGGTTTTGAATCTTCACTAGAGATCATTTTCTCAAACAGCTTGATGGCCATGAATGACTCGCCGTTTTGAGTATAACCAGCAATCATTGAATTCCAAGAGATGGTATCTCGGTGTGGCATCTTTTCAAAGAGGTGCCTTGCCAAAGATAAATCCCCTACTCTTGCATATGCGGATATCATGGCATTCCATGGAACAGAACTCCTATACTTATACACACCTAATTGCTCAAAAATCTCATGAGCTGCCTCAAGATTCCCGCATTTTGCATACATATCAAGAAGGGTTGTCTTGACAAAATAATTAGAGCGGACGCTTATTCTGTTGTCTAGCTTTCTGACAATCGATTCTGAAAGACAAGGGTCACTAAGAGATGAACAGGATGATATGACAGTTACCCATGTTGTTTCGTCTGGTTCGACATTTCCATCGCTAAGCATTTCATGGAACAATCTTACAGTCTCTTGTGGTGCCCCTCCTTGAGCATACCCTGATAGAATTGCATTCCATGATACCACATTTCTTTCTGGCATTTTGTCAAAATACATCCTTGCAGTCTTCAAATTGTTGTTCTTTGCATACCCGGTAATCATGGTGGTCCAAGTAATAACATTCCTCTGCTCGCCCATAAGATAGAAAAGCTTAGTTGCTTCATCTTCGTCCCCGCACTTCCAGTATCCAGAGATCATCAGATTCCAATCTGCAACGGTTGTATCAGGCATTTCATCAAACAGTTTCCTGGCAAGCTCGATAGGCCGACACTTAACATACATGGCCAAAATTGCATTTCGAACATAATGATCACGAGAATGTCCCGATTTGAGTACATGAGCAAGAAATAATATGCTTTCGTTTCCAGCAGATTTCATCAAAACCGCATAGAAAGATGCATCGGGCTTTACGTGGTAGTGGTGGTGTAGCATATGTTTAAAGAAAGAGAGTAGTAGTCGTGTGTGAGCACCAATTTGGGAATAATATCTGAGTATGCAGGTGAAGAGACGCAGATCAGGGTGTGTTGCAAGATGAAAAATGCGGGAGGTGTAGGTTGGGGGTGCAAGAAGGCGAGTGCAGTGGGTAAGGAGAAGCGCCACCAAGTGGTTATGGTGGTGCAGTGATTGGTGGACCAGTTGTGCATGGACTTGTCTTAAACCACGGAGATTGCTTATTTTACTCTTCAACACTGACATGCCACTGCTTATTTTACTCTTCGATTCCAAGGTGATAACTTCTTGGGGTTACATTTCGAATGCTACATCTTTTTTCACACGCTCTTCATCTCATATTCATAAGCAACACATGTTTTGCTAAAATTCAATCTAGAGATTCATCTGAGAATCTATATAACATAATTCCCAAGATTATTTTGAACATGTATATATGAAAATCATTAATTTAAAATAATATTATATATGTCTTTGCACGAATGTTTTTATTTTTAAAATATAATAAAAATAGATAAAATAAAAATAAAATTGTTTTATTAAAAGAGTTTATCATTTTTTAAACAAAAAGATATATTTTAATTTATATAATTTTTTTTTATATATAACTCATTTTTCATATATTATCTTAAAAAATATTATATATTAAATTAAAAATAATTTTAAAATATAAATATTAGTAATATAAATAATTAAAAAAAACATATTTTTTCATGTTTGAATTCATATACTACCTCCTTCTCTAATAATAAAATTCTTTTGAGTTTTTTTTTTTTCTTCCATTCTTTGAACTTTTAAACTCCATTAATTATTTTTTTCAAACATACTCCTAAATATATTATATATATTTTTATAATGTGTAATAAATACACTTGTATAAATAATAATTATTTCTCTTTCTTGATGATATATTTGTAAAATTATAAAAATAGTCAATAAATTTAATACTCTAACAAACTTTATTAGCGCAATTTAATCTATGGAATCTTATATTTAAGGACATAGATAGTATTATTTTAAATATATTTACTTTTATGATTTTAATTATACCAAAAATGTAATAACTTATAGGTTAGCATGAATTCTGGTCTATATACCCGTGCGTTCGAACGTGTATTGATGTGTTACGCACATTTGTTTATAAAATATAATAAGAAACCAAAAAAGTCAAATATATTATTTATAAAAATATTTATACAAATATTTAATTTTATAAATATTAACTAATAACATAGTATTTAAAAAATATTATTTTAATTATATAAATAAATATTAGTAATATAAATAAATACATTTTATTCGTGTTTTTTATTCATACATTATTTAAAATATAATTACTTTTATCTTCTTTAATAACACAAAAAATATAATAACACGTATATTACATGAATTTTAATATGAATAGCCGTGCATTTGTACTAATACTGTGATACTGAAGTGTTACACTAATTTGTTTCTAAATGTAATAATAATGATAAAACAAAAAGATACAATAATTTAATTACTAAAATTTATCTTTGATACAACAAAATATTTATAAGAGCTAATTAATTTTGTATCGTTTATATTTTAAGAAAATTAATAAAATTCATTTATGTTGACTATAAATGTTGGCATTAATTATTAATAAATTATATAAAATAAATTTAAATAAGTTTTAATTAATCTCAAATTTAATTTTTAATTATTATTAATTCTATAGAGAAAGTAAATTTACATAATTTATATTTTTGTTTTATATTTGTTGAATACATTTTTAGTTCTTAAAAGTATGAGTTTTCAAAATATATTAATTTTTATTTTTAATTTATTAAAAAAATTAAAATTTAATTTTTTTAGGATTTGTTTAATTGAGAGTGGATGAAGGGGGAGGGGAAGGATATTTATAAATATATTTGTTTGGTTATTTTTTATAAGGAGATGAAAGGGGAAGTGAGCCAAATTCCTTATAAATTCATTTTTTGCTCCCCTTCAAATTTGAGAGATTTGGAGGGGAGGGGAGAGGAGATTCATTTATTAAAATTTTATTATTTTTTCTAATTTATCCTTAATCATTTTTTTATTCCAAAATTGTCCTTATTGAATTATTAAAGACTATGTTTTTCTGTGTTATTTCACATTTCATTTGTCTCCTATTGTGTGGTTGTTATTTGTACGTTGTTCCTCCAACCAGTTCTGATACCGACCAACATCGACTCAGCCATAACAACACTACTCACTGCACTCAATCAGACCAACGCTGTGATCCGTCAATCGAATACCAGGATAAGATGCCGCCCGAAGTCTCCTTGCTGGAGACACTGACAACGTGGATCACGTAGTCCATCACCATCAAGATCTGGTCGTCGCTCAACGCAAGCAAAGCCAGAAGTTTTGTTTCTCAAGAAACGAGATCGTACTCCACCCCGCAGAGATCTACGTTTCTCGGTCACCAAAAAGACAAAGGGAAATCAACGGATAGATAACTACCGTTCACCCTCTCCCAAGTCGAAGCATCATCTAAGGAGTATGTCTCCCCATCGAGTCAATAATCCTCGATGGGGTAGGAACAATTACTCTCCACCATATTCTCCATACCGTATCAATGATGACGAGCCATGTGACCCGTTATCAAAAGAAATCATGGAGACTCCCATACCCGTCGGCCTGGAGAAACCCCTAAATATAGGGACATACGACAGGACTACCGATCCTGACGAGCACATCGAGAACATCAATACCCTGCTCGATTACAGAGGCTCACGGGGAGCTATCAAGTGCCGACTTTTTCCCACCACTCTGAGAAATGGGGCTATGACTTGGTATAAAATCCTCTTTGACGAGTCAATCATGTAACACCCCAATTCTACCCCAAGCAAATTATGCAAAATAAATCAGAGTTATAAAATTTCAATCATACAAATGAATTAGGACGTCACAAATTCTTCTAACAACACTCATTGCATTCATCGTGGATATATAACACTTTCAAAATATCGGATGAACCATCATAACATCTTAAATAAATAGTTCAACATCTACGCAGCGGAATTCTCAATAAACTTCTTTAAGCAAATCAACAACTTCGAAACATCACATATTTAATAATAATCAATTTAAAACTCAGCAATCGAAAATCAACAATAAAAAATCAGCAAACGTTCATCCCCCGAGTGTTACATATCAGAGCAATGACACTGACTCGAACTATTGAAGGTATACGGCCTTCACTCTCGATTACCTGCACGTTACCAGCATAGGGGAAACATTCAAACAGAAGGGGTGAGATATCTAACAATATAATAAAGCGCATGATCATCAATATATTAAGTTAGATCATAAACGTCACCACTTCTCATCTCAAAATCAACAACAATTACAACGTGTGTATATATATATATATATATATATATATATATATATATATATATATATATATATATATATATATATATATATATATATATATATATATATATATATATATATATATTCATCAACATCAAAATACACTTCATCATTCACTCATATAATGCGACTCAAAACTATGCAAATGTATGTGGTACCATTGGAGCAGAACTCCCATCTAAAAAAATATGCCAATTAATAGAGGCATCAACAAGGCATAGCCTTCATCTCAAAACTTTCCAATCCAGGCCATCTCAACGAGCATAAGCTCCATCTCAAAAAATACAATATATGTGACTCAACATGAATGTAATATCAACACTCAAATTAACAACATCTCAAATCATCTCAAAATAACAACATCTTAATCATCTCAAAATACATCTCAAAATAACAACATCTCAATCATCTCAAAACATCTCAATTACAGCATCTCATAAACATCTCAAAAATTTATTAAACATCATTTATTTATCAAACATCGTTTGTTCATCATAATTATCAAACATAACTTTAATAACCACATCTCACTAATAACTCAGTTGTATATTACTACTACAGTAATCCATACTGTTATTCTGCAATTTTACATCTTTATTGTCACCAATCCTACTGTCATAATTCTAACAGCAACCTCTAAACATCTCATATTCATCATTCTGCCCAAAAACAGCCAACAGCCAATGCTGGAATTAATTTCTAAATCTTAAATTGGTTACTAGGATTACACTTCTTAATCATCATCTAAATCATCTAGACTAGAGTTCATCGCGTTAGTAAATCAACGCTTCGAACGACATATCAAACAACATCTTAAAACTCAAGTTACAGCAACTAAAAACCGATTCTGTCAAAAATTAGACCTTATGGGTCGACACAAAACCTTATGGATCAACTCATCCTGCTTCTCCTTTACAACATGGGTCGACGTAAAACCCTATGGATCGACTCATCCTGACTTCAAAACGCAGCATGTATCGACACATCCTCTCTTCGTGTCGACTCATCCTGAGTCTTGTAACTATCATGCATCGACGCAAGCCCTCCTTGTATCGACTCATCCTGAGTCTAACATCCTTCATGTATCGACACATCCAGCTTGGGGTCGACGCCTCCTGCTACAGTCTGCATAATTTTGTGCGTTTTCTTCTGTAGTTTCACTACGGGAATTATGTTACAGTCCTACAAACCTCATTATAACCATGATAATTCATCACTTAACATTATACTCTATTACTCCATCGATCAAACAACATAATAACTTCATTATTCATCAAGAATTCATCAATCTTCATCATACATCATTCAATTCAATAACAAAAACAACAATCCTCTAACCCCACATATCAAACATCATGAACCCAATTATAAAGTCAGAACCCCACCCTTACCTTGGATTGAAGTTCGCTCTATAATTTCTGGGTAGAATCTTTGTTCTTGTCGTTTCCTTCTATTTCCAGCAGCTTCACGTTCTCCTCAAATCCTTATTTTCTTCTTACTGTTTCCTTCTTCTATTCCTTCTCACAAATAATAATATAACCCTATTATTATATTATTCTTATTGGGCTCCAAACCTACACCCCCCTTATTACATCTACTATCTCAAATTAAGCCCACTTTGATAATATTACACTTCTAATATTATTTCACCACATAATAATATTATACCTCTAATATTATTATTTCTCCACTTAATAAAATAAATCCAATTTAATTATACACACATTCATAAATATTCCAAAAATAATTTAATTAAATAATTAATTAAATTACGGGCGTTACAACTCTCTCCCACTTAGAATATTTTCGTCCTCGAAAATTTACCTCAATCAAACAATTCAGGATAGGAGTCTCGTGTC